GAGAGAGAGAGAGAGAGAGAGAGAGAGAGAGAAGGAGTAAATTGACCTTTTCCACAGAGCCAGCCGTGTTTGACTTAACGCTTTCACGCATATCCTTCCACTTTATAGCGGATGCATTAACACGTAACTAGGTAACATCTGCAACTGCTTGTTTATAGAGTTCCGCGGAAAGAATGGCTGTGTGAGCTAACACGGCAAGGGAACACGCGCGGGGATTTGTGCAAGTAGGTTTTTAAGGGATGGAGCACGAATTTGCAGTATGAAGGGGGGAGAAGGATTATTGGCTGTAATTGTCCAGATAGAGAAAGTGTTCCAGTGTGTGCGTGCATCGGCCAGCCAAAGAAGGCTCGGGTTTGGGGAGGGGGGGGTTAAGGCTGGGTTAGGGGGAGGGAGCTGCATGGATGACTCATACTGTATCTGCTGACACTTTGTGTGGACACAGCATTAGATATAATGATGTTTTCGTGATGAGAAGCGGTTGAGAAAATGTCCCCCCAAAACCATATGTCCCGACATTTATGGCCTCAACCTCAGCCACGGTGTAATACTGAGGTGATGTGGTAGCAGTTGAGTTCAGCGCTGACACGTCAAACACACAGAAAGGCCACATAATAAAGTGAGGATTTGTTGGTACACGCACAGGTTGCACGGCTGTGATTAGTTCGTCCTGTAAACTTTTATTCTTCTTAATGCAGGCCTGGCACGAACACTCGAATTATCCCTGACACTTGTTAACGCCCTCTTTACCACCACAACTCCACCATTGTTGTGAGAAGACTGCTACACGCGCACTCATCCGCGCGCGCGTGCACGCGCACTCCCCAGTCATAACTGAATGACGGCAGGTCGCTATGGAAACTGCGTTACGCTCCAGGCTGCCGAAGGAGAAACAAGAGCGCGAGGACTCGTTTCATTCTTCATTTCAGCACCACGCGCCTCCCGGACAGCGCCCGAATGAACTCGCGCGCAGATTCTGGCAACGCATGCCTTATAAGGGACCCAGCCGCGTCAGCATCGAGTCTAAACGGAGCGGGCAGGGACTTCAAAAGAAAAAACAAAGCCAGTAGAAAACACGAACTCTCCGGACCTGTAGCTCGGTGGATACCCGCTGTTTCATCCCGCTGACAAGTCAGGAGCCGCTCGCTCCCTCAGATGCCTCAGCAACAGGTAAGAACACTCAGCTCTGTGAAGTTTTTTTTTTCTTTTAATCCCGTTTTTAAGTTTTTAATTCTCACGAGTGCTGCCCTTTACCCTGGCAGGCACTTCATTGCGCTTAATTGCCTCCACTTGCCACAGGACTGTGAAACTGTACAAGTGGTGAACTATAACACCCAACAGGTGTTAACTTTTATGGGAAAAATTAATAGCTGTATTTTTATTTCTTATTTATTTCTTTATTTTAGCAATGTACTGGTGAACTCAAGCACTGCATTTAAAAATACAGGCTTTCTTCTCAGTAAATATTGTGTTATAAGCTCAGTAAGTAGCCTACTGAGTTGTCTTCCACTTCAGTATTCATATGTTTATAATATTTCAAGGGGATAAAAGTAAAAATCAAGGACTTGCATGCAAATAACATATATGTATGTATGTATGTGTGTGTGTGTGTGTGTGTCTGTCTGTCTGTCTGTCTGTCTGTCTATCTATATATAGGTATATATAAAGGACATATATTTAGAGTATTCTAACCACAGGACTAACTCTCCCTCCTGTGTGCTACCTGACAGATTTTATACCCAAGACATTCACCTGAGTTTACAGAGCCTTATTGTTTGTTTGTACATGTAGCCCAGTGTGTATGAGCTTCTCAGATTTGTTGGGTTTTCAGTGGCTATAGATTATGTGTGAGCTGAGCCGATACGCCTGGATGAGTCACTCAGGCTGCAAGTTTGCAGGAGAGTGAGAAAGGGGGAGGGGGGTTGTGGGGGAAATACAAGGGGCCAGTTGGAAAAACGCTCCTGCAGTGCCTCGTCAACATATTGTGTCGCTGTGCGTGTGATAAGTGTAAACATCGGGAGGTGTTTGTATCAGCTCTGGATGTATGATAATTTTGCGATGTGAAGTTTGCCTGGTTAAAGTGGGACACGTGAGCCGATGTCTCATCCACAAAAGCTATTTAGGAGCTCTGTGCTCTAAGACTCAACTTCTTTTCATCCTGGTAAGCAGTTCTTCAAAAAACAGCAACTTCTGTACTTCTGTAGCTTTATGTACGATCTGCACTTACGCTGATTTAGTGTTTGTTGAAATGCATGCAAAGCTTTCTAAGACGCCCCCATTATAGATTTTGTTTGTGGTTGTTACAGACTATAACCCTCTGGTGTCTGACTAAATGATACCAGAAAGCATCCGATTACTGCTCATTATTATCCCACTGTTTAGCCTGCTAGTATTGACAAATCATAGCAATCAGCTGCATTCAGCTGTAGCACTGAGTGACAACTATTGATTAAAGCAAACAATAGATCATAATGGGCTGCTATGAACCACAGTTGCAAACACGAGCACTCACTCGCCGAAACACTTTGACAGGCGCTCACAATCGCACACTCAGTCACTTAACAGAGACTCTTCAGACTGACTTGGTTAGGCAAATAAAGATATTGTGCAGCTTATTGAAAATATTTTGACTCTTTAGAGATTTATTAATGGAGTCTGGATGCAGAGGCTGAGTGTGTAAGTGCCAGGAGGACTCCACATGTTAAATGCCAAACAGCATAATTAGCTCTTATTTAATTTCTCTTTGTTTCAATTTGGGTTGAAAATTTTTTTTTATACATTTAACATGCAGTCCCACAAATGGATGGAGTTATTGATTGTAATATGCACGCATCATGTGCTGCACACACGGCCACAAAAACAGATGTGTGTCTTTAATTAGTGACGTTGGTGTGATTAATGCAGTCTGCTGGTGATGACTCATTCAACTTAACCCTTTCTTGTCCGGTGAAAATAATAAACAAAGGTTGCATTTTATTATCTTTTATTATTATCTTATACAAAGGCTAAGTAAATGTTATATTTTGAGTTAAAGGAATTACATTAAATCCTGAGCCAGCAATTAATAGATGGAGTGTAAATAAAGTGACTAATTAACACGTTGTAAGTCATGAGTAGTAAATACTGTAAAGCATTTCAGACTCTTTTTGTAACTCGACCACTTCCCCATAATTTGCTGTGACCTGGGTGAACAGTTGAAGAGTATTTATGCAAAGCACATCTGCGTGGTTTGCTCCATGTGTCAGCTTGTCAACACAGCAGTTACATTAGCATTGTGGAAAAGCTGTCAGCCAAGCTGTGACTTGCAGACAGCAGACTGGCAGAGAGTGTGCATATGAGTGATACTGAGTGTGTGTGTGTGTGTGTGTGTGAGAGAGAGAGAGAGAGAGAAACACACAGCATATTTCATTGAGGAGCTGTAATAAACTCTCATTGTCATCCCTCCCTTCAGGGCAGCAGCATGTCTGAAAAGAAATCCAGTCAGCGATTTCACAGCCTGAACGCTGAGCAGGTGGAGGTTCTCCATCAGGTTCTTTCAGAGGTGGTTCCAATCCACGGCCGTGGGAATTTTCCCACGCTGGAGCTGCGTCCTCGTGACATCATCATTGCCGTGCGAGCCAGGCTGCAGAAGCAGGGAATCACAGTTAGAGATGTTCGTCTGAACGGCTCCACGGCCAGCCACGTCCTTGTCCGAGACAACGGAACAAGCTACAAGGACTTGGACATCATCTTTGGAGTGGAGTTGCCCACTCAAGAGGAGTTCCAGGTGAGATTACTGTAGCGTTTAGACACCAGTTACCTGCGCTGACAGCATTGAATAAGCCATGTAGGGGTTGCAAATGATTTTTACTGGGGTTCTGTTAAACATGATATTGTAATCCTAACCATAATTAATTTGTAGCTGAATCGATCATGCTTGTTTTAACTAGATTATACCAAAACCTAAACCACAGCAATGATTTTTATTTCAGTAGATCGTTGTGATTAGTTGTAGCTGTCATGCTGTTAACTTTTTGCCCTCCCAGGTGATCAAAGAGTCAGTGCTGGGCTGCTTGCTGGACTTTCTGCCTGCTGCAGTCAACAGGGAACGGATCAGCAACGCCACAATGAAAGAGGCCTATGTCCAGAAAATGGTAAAAGTCTTCAACGAACATGACCGCTGGAGCCTCATCTCCCTCTCAAACAACAGTGGCAAAAACCTGGAGCTCAAATTTGTGAGTGCGCTCAGGCGCCAATTTGAGTTCAGCGTAGACTCCTTCCAGATCATTCTGGATCGTCTTCTAGAGTCTTACATGCAGAAGGACTCGCAGCGCAAAATGAATAAGGTTGAAGTTAAGGACCAGCCCGCAGAGAATCAGAATAAATACTCTCCTTCCCTGCTGAATCAAACAGCTGCGCCAGAAACAGAAAAGCCCACAGACAGAGACATTTTCGGTGAAGAAGGTGCTCAAAACAGCCAGATAAAACA